ATCGCTCTCTACAACTACCTGAAAGGAGGTTGTAGTGAGGTGGGTGTTGGTCTCTTCTCCCAAGTAACAGGCGATAGGAAAAGAGGAAACGGCCTCAAGTTGTGCCCAGCGAGGTTTAGATTGGATATTAGGAAAAATTTCCTCACTGAAAGGGTTGTCACACATTGGAACAGGCTGCCCAGGGAAGTGGTTGAGTCACAATCCCTGGAGGTATTTAAAAGCCGTGTAGATGTCATGCTTAGGCACATGGTTTAGTGGTGGACTTGGCAGTGTTAGGTTTACGGTTGGACTCGATGATCTTAAGGGTCTTTTCCAACTTTAATGATTCTGTGATTCTATATCTCTGATTGCAATTGCGTGTCTGTCTGCGTCTGCTTTTGCAAGTTGTGGGGTGTTTGTCTTGTACATCATATACTACTTTCACTTCACCCTCGTAGTTCTGATGCTGTTTCTGAATTTACGTACATTCATTCATATTTTAAATAATTTTTCCTACCTCCTCACTTGAGTAAATTCTATAACTAATGTAGCACTGCCCTCTTTGGCACCTCTCCCATGAAAGCCCTTTCTTTTTCAATATATTTGCTGTCATTTTTGGGAATGTGGACACTGCAATCACGGCATTTTAGACCAGATGCATTTTGGTGGCAGCAGTAGCCTGAGAAGCTCCTGAAAGTCATGAGCTATCTTGGGCAGATATGGGGGCATTTCTAATTTTAATCAGAGATATTGATCTAGCTATGATTTTTTTTCTTTTCTTTTTATGAATAATTTATTATAGAGACACTGAATCATGAAATTCTGCATGTAGAAATATTGGCTATACAGGACAAATTAACCTAATCCTTATATCTTTCTGTACTACTACTGGTTTTGCTTATTAAAGTAGCCTTCATTTTGTCTTTTACTCAGACTGTATTAATTGTGAGAATAATATATCAGATTAAGGAATAGCCAATTAGAAAATACAGTAGCACTATTTATCTCTTGTTCAATGACAGCAGATGCAGAAGAGAATGGAAAGATTAACCCCTTTACTAAGAACAGTACTTATGTCAGATAAATTTGTAAACTGCCCATTGGCTTTAGTAAATGCACTTAAGTGTGAAATACTAGAGTTTTAACTTTAAATACAGGATGCATTTTCTTGTATCCATGATATTTTTTTAAGCTAATGCAAAATCTACAAGCATTCTCATGTCATTCATAATTGGAATAAACAGGAGCATAAGTAGTTTTTCTTTTATTTGTATATATATGTGATCTTCAGATGATTGGTATGGAAGTGTGTGTGTATATAAACACATGCATATAAAAAGTTTTTTCTAATATCATCAAACAGTATAAAATCTGTTTTGGAGTTAAATAATAAAATGCTTGGAAATAGAACACTATCTTTGACCTTCTGACCCATGTTTTTTTGTGTACCAGCATATAATCGGGCACACTTTTAGTCATTTCAAGCTTTAGTATCTTCTCCAGCTTCTTATCAGGATTCTTCACAAAGCAAGTTTTTTTTGCCCTTAGAGAGATTTCAATACCATTTTGTATAATTGTTCCTTATGTTAAACTACCTTATTTAATAAGGTAGTTTATATCTTTATAATAAGATAGTACTGTAGTTACCCTCTTAAGGAGCAGAGAGTTGTTAGGCCATTGGTGGCTTTCGGCTAACTACAGATTTGTGAAAGTTAACCACTAGCATGAAAATTATTTCTGTTCCTCTTTTCACAGAACAACATTCAATATTATTTAAATTAAAACAAATATTTTATTTAGAAGATTATCTTTATAAGGAGTACTGTGACATATATTGTTACAAAGATTGAATAAGTCCTGTCAGTTGTCAATCAAGTGCAACAAGACTGAGAGTTTGTTTGCATGTTATTTATTTGAACTAAATCCCTAACAAGCCTCGTCTGCTAATTGGACTTAGCATTTATGTTGCTAAATGAGAAGTGTTTTGGCTGCAGTATAAGGTGGTAAGACCTACCCAGTGGAATAAACAACTAACATCTGTTATCCTGTCCTGCTCCAGCTTGGCTTTTACCACTTAAGTACCTCAGCCCTAGAGTCAAGGTTATGGAATATGTGGTTCTCTGGCTATGGTGCATATATGTGAAAGGGAAGAAATAACACAACGTGAGTAAAGACCAGCCAACCAGAAGATATTTAGTACAGCTGGTCCACTTTGCTTTAACCTCTACAAGCCCTACAAATATCAAAACAAAAGCCAAAAGAAGGGTATATGTTTTATAGCAGTTGTCAACACAGCAATTCAAGTGAGCTTACCGTGATCACCATTAAAACAGATTTGACATTTAACTACCTTTAATACGCATTGGTGTCTGAGACGCCTTGGTATTTCTTCAAGCTCTGTGTAGAAATAATTGCTGAATGCCAGAGAGGCTCTAGGTAAACAGGTTTCAACAGTAACTACTGTTACAGTTTTGTATGATAGTTTTTGCCTGTCATGGTAAAAATAGCAATGTGTACAGTCAAAATTGAATTAGCTTGCCTTTTAAAAAATTGTTTGTTTTTAATGTTAGTTGACTTCTCTTTCCTGCCAGATTTGATCTTTGCATGGACTAGAGAATTCAACCACTATGCAATATAATTACAGATAATACATACTGTTTCATTCCTCTTGAATTCTGAACCAGAGAAGCATGTCATATGATCAAGCAGAAATATTTTTAGGATGCAATTGTGATTGTTTCTTCTGTTTGTAAAACAGGTGTTGACCTCCAACCTGGCCAAGTGGCAACAGGAGAAAGAAGATTTACAAGGAAAATTGAAGTTGAGAGAACATCTGTCTCGAACTGCTGGCAAGAGTGAAGCCACACCAGCTCCTTCAAAGAACATTGATTCAGAGATGAAACAGCTGCAGTGGAAACTAAAGGTGACAGAACAGATTATCTAGTGCTGAGGATAATTCATATGAACAGTATTTCATAACTGGGTCAAGCAGATATATGTATACTCACATATGCATATCATTTATGTATCTTAGCCAATGATTAGCAACTTAGGTGCTAATAGACAACCTTCGATGTTAAGTAGAAATGTAGTCATTAAGCAGGAGAATTAAAAGTTACAATTAAAACAATTTTTGCAGATCAAATAGGCCAGACAGGGAGGCTTGCTGAGTTTTCACACAATGATTAAATGCGTCTTGTTGGAAAGTGCTGTGGAATTACTTCAATGAGAACTGTGTTGATTCCTTGCTTCCTTTAAGAGGAGGTAAGCAATAGCTGTCTGTGAAAGGGGAGCATGGAATTTGGGCTGATGGGGCAGCTCATGTAATGTAACAGTGTTATGTTACCCATACGTCACTACTATTCTTGTCTTCAAAGAGACATCATTCTTTTTGTATTTGTATTTTTGTAGATTAGTTGATAGGAAAATACTAACTTGTTGATGATTTCATTTTTCAGTCTCCACTGATTCTGTTATATGTGGATGATGTAGATGCTGGACTGTGTTGATCTGAGAGCTTTCTCAGCAGGTGGCCTGGCTCGAACATATTAATTCTTCTTCTCTTCTAACTGGAGGAAATATATGTGCAACAGAATGTCTTAAAGTTGGTTTTTTCCATCATTTTGTGTTTAATATTTGAGGAAAGAGAAAAGGTCAAAATGGTACAGCTTCTTGCTGCTAGAAGAAATGGCACACTAGCAAGCTGGCTGCCAAAGGATCAACTTTGAAGAAGAAAAGGACATATTACTTGAGTGATATAGCTGGCTCTGGCTCTGAGTACTGGATTAGCTGTGCTAGCACACAAGATGTGGGTAGTGCTCAGACCTCTTAGCTGTTGATGGTAATCATAGTATTACAGATCTTGGCTATAGCACACTGGATGTGTAACATCTAAATTCAGGGATTAGTAAAGGTAGGTCACATTGATAAAGAGATGAGGGCAGCAGGGAGTAGCCGTGAAAAGCCACATAATTTGATCTACTTTAATTATGAGAAAGAGATCTTGAAACCATACATGCTGACTTCTTGAGTGTTGATTTTAGATTTGGGTTTGACTAATCTGCTTCTGCTGCTGGCGAGTGGTAATTTCTGCTAATTAGGGTTGTTCCTTTTAGATGAGTGTCCTCATTATCCAGAAACCCAGTAGTCAATTGCTCTATGAAAGTAAGAAAAATAAAAAATGAGGATTTTTTTTTTGTAAAATTCTCTAAGAGTAACACTCATGCTAGAAGCCTACTTTATTTGTCTGCCAGATGTGAACTGCAAAATATATTGCTGAAAAAATCAAAGTTTTTTTTCTTTCTGCAGCAGAGGAAACATTTAGCAAGCATATATAAATCTGATGTCAAAAATACTAACATGACTTTTAATTCCTTCTTAAATATGTATTACATTTTTAATGTAAAAAACCATGTATGCAAAACTACATTTAGAATAAACATGGCCTGTGACCCCAAATCCAGATTAGTAGAGTAAATTCACTGGTTGCTGAATTGGATGAGAGTTTTGACTATAAAGGCCTCAAAAGCTACTTAAATCAAGTTACTGAAATTCTTAGCCTTATTTTGACCTAATAATTTTCAAAAATTTAAGTCTTGCAAGTCATTTTTAGCAGAAGAAATTGGCAAAAGTTGTCAACTATTGTTCCAGGCTATCTAGCATTCTTAAAAAGGAGATACAAAGTTATTCTCCTAAATGTCTGAGTGTGGAAGCAGCAAAAGCTTTCCTTATAGCTCAAAATCTCAAAGTACCCAGTTTTGTTAGTTCATTTTTTTTCTCAGAGCTATTTTTGCAGTGTTTGTTTATGTTGTATATAATGACTCCTTGTATCTTTGCCAATAGGAAGAAATGTGTTAGGTGTGGGTTTGGAAGCAAAATACCATAAGCATATGTCTTTGCCTCTGAGCATGTGCAGAGGCCCACCTAAGTATGCAAGTTCATATCTGGTGTGTAAACCATGTAACTGGGTGCTGTGCTTCACGCTAATGAAGCTCAAGCTCAGCAAACAGGTCTCAGGAAACTCAGGAATATTCTGCTAGCATACATCATTTTAACAATTTTCTGGTTATACCTCACATTATAATAACAGTAAATAGACTAGACAAGTTATTAAGAACAATATTTTACATCTAACTATGCACACAAGAATATATACTCCCCTTGAGGTGCACAGAGTTATGTACAATACTCCTATTAATGTTAATGGGCGTTACAAGTCTGCACTGAGCAGAGAAATTCTCCTGAAGTATCTTTGTTTACAGCATGTCTGATCTGTTCGCTTATTATTTATACATAATGAGTAAAAAGCTTTAGTACAGTGGCTGAACCTGAATGCATATATGCACACATATATGTTGTGCATACACTTAACGCATATGTGTCTTTTGGCAACACCTTTTGGATTTCTGAAATCTCTATATGCGGTATGTTTGAGCTGCCATTTTCAGCAATGACATTCAATGCATATGCTCAGATTGCTAAGATGGCTACTTAGTTAAATTTTGTATTTTTATTTCTTTAGAGTTGTTTAAATACAGTTGTTCTGTATTTAAATCTTGGGTAGATTATCTGTGTGTTTTCATGGATGAATTGAGGCTTTTTTTTACTTCCTACTACATACGATGAGGAAAGGCCAACAACTGTATAACTCTCTTTCACTGGAGTTACACGTGCCTGAAAGTTAGGTTCGTACCTTTTTGTTACTGAAATGTAGGATTTGTGTTACTGTGCCCAAATGGAAATGTCTTTGTCTTGTGCTTTGAGTTTCAAGGGACACAAAAACAACCGCTCTTGTAGATCGTCTTGTACGCTCTGTAGATGTAGGCCCCTTGTGCTGTAGAACTATACCATTCAAAGATGTAGTTCAAATGAAGATCCGATTTTATTTCTCTTCTTTTCTGTTACCTTTTCAGCTGACCATGCTATGCAAGAGAAAATGTGGCCCTGGTAGGTGCACTGGGCTTGCAGGTGTCCTGGGGAACATCTATTAATCATACATTATTAAAGCAATGGAAAAGTACTGATTTTGATCATATTTTCCAAGGAATGTACTTTTGCTTAAGTGTAGCTAGAAAGTAAGAATACTCTTTTTGTCCCAATTAATGTTGAAGAACATTCATAAAATATGTGGAAGTTTACACAGCCCATTATTTCAAACAAATTTACTGTTGACTGTGATAATATTCAGTCTGCTTTATTTATATTTTAATATTTTTCAATATAGAATTCGAATAATGAAATCACTAAGCAATCAACCACCATTAAGTCACTAAAAAACGAAGTCCAGGAAAGAGAAGAACGGATTCGGGAACTACAAGCGAAGTATGTTCACTCTTCTATCCATTGTGTTTGGTGCCACCCAGTGGCAGCTGTATAATTGTTACAACATTAACCGTTCTTAAATAGATTTTTAAGAGAATGTTTTATTCTTTTTTTTTCTGCAATCTTGCGTACAGGTTTTTTTTAGAAACTGGAGCAGTACATGCTAAAATTGCATTTTGTTTAAACTGATGAGTGATTACCTAGGTACAGTATCTGAATTGCAATAAGAATACCCAGACCCTAGAGTAGACTATTTTATCCTTGATGTAAATCTAAATGAATTCCTCAGCACTGTTAAACACAGCCTTTCAAATACAGTAATTCTTTGCCTAGGGGCTAAGAGACATGTCAAGGTTCAGATGCTTAAACAAGATTAAATATCCAGTCTTATATTCATGAAAAGTTCAAAAGGACAGTTGTATTTGTTCCTATTTGAATTGATTAAGGTTTACTACTCATTTTGAAATTCACATGTATTGTTGTGAAGTATTCAACTGAAATTTTTGTTCTACCTACTTTAACTGATGTAATAGTGTTCTTCAATTATATTACTATATAAACATAACCTATTAGTATATCAGTGAATTACTTGCCTGTCCCAGAGTTTAAGTCCTCTAACCATTCTAATTTTTTTATTTGTAGAAAGAATGCAGTTTACTTATCTGAAATTAGTTCATTTCAAAAATAGAGAACTCTTAAAATTGTTAAATTGTGTACATTGCGTATTTTCTGTTTCAAAATGAAACTGAATTTTTCCACCATAAGCCTTAAACTTAAATTTAAAATAGAGTTACTGGTTAACATGATTCCTTTATAAAATAGATACTGCTTTTTCATAAACTGTTAAGATATAATCAACAAAATAACATTAATAGTATAAATGTGAAGTAGATGCAAGAAATTTTAAGATGCACTATTTTCCTGGGTTTTTTTTAATATGGTGTTGACATGGTATCAACAATGTTTTATTCCTGAACATATTACCATCATTCATTTTGCCTTCATTAAAAAAAAAAAAAAAAATCCAGAAATCTGAACATATTCAGGTATTGTTTATGTTTATATTTAAAATATTAAAATAAGGGTGGAGGCATTGTATAAGGCATAATTTTCTCATTGAGCAGAGATTACATTGTAGTACATGGGAGTTTCTTTTTTGGGGAAGTTTCTGAAAAATGCTGATGTTATTTCTAGGTTTTGCAATTTTTAAGAATTACTATCTCATCTGACATATTATAGGGACAGAGATTTTTCATGTATTTCTGTGTATTACTCAGTTGGATGGAAGGAGACTTCCCCCTTTTACTTTCTTTTAAAAATAATTTTGTACAAAATAGTGTTTGAATGATACCTGCTTCAGACATCAAAAAAATTTAATTAATTAAATTTTGTGTTTTCAACAGGTTTTTTGCCTTTTTTTGATAATAGCTTAAGAAGAATTACTACGATTTCAGATCAGACAAGTTAGAGCATAAACCACAGCAAAAAGCAACTCACAAATAAATTGCATATTTAGAAATAGGTCTGTTTAATAAGAGACTTGAAACTGGTTTTAATTGTTGCGAATAGGGTAAATTGCAAGAATTGCAAATAGGGTAAATTGCAAGAATTGCATCAGCTTTTATTTAAAAAAGTATTCTAAAGCTACAGGAGTGATACTTTGTCTACTGCATTTATACTTTTTAGTTGTTTAAAATAGTTGCATATTAACAATATATTCTAACAGTGACATGCAGTGTGACTTCTTCCCTTCTAGGATTTCTCGATTGGAGAGGGACCTTAATATGAAAAGACATTTGATAGAAGACTTAAGGTCTCGTCTAAAAGCAAATCAAGAAAATGAGAAAACCTCTAATGAAACATTAGAAAGTCTTGAGAGAAAGGTACTTCTTTCTTGCTATTGATAGTTTTAGGAAAAGCAAAAGCTGGTGGATTTACAGAAGTTATTTCAACATGCTATACATACTAAATCAATATATTGCTTTAAGCAAACAGCATACAGTTAATTTAAGGGTGTAATTCCCTCCACTATCACTATGGTGATAGCTTGGATGGATTCAGCATAATTTAATGTATGTTCATAAAAGGTGTAATTAAATATTAAAGTATTCAGAACACTGAGTTGCAAGGATATGCTGTAAGTAGTGAGATTTAGTTTTATGCACTGTAAGTTCATCAAATACAGTAGACCTGAAACAAGGGTGATTTTACATGACATATGCTAATGAAGTCCATGCACCTCTCCTGGCTGTAGTAGTTAAATGCTTTAATATGTTAATCTGTTGTCTACTGCAATATTATGAATGATTCACAGTTCTTAACTTAATGAAATTCTGTCTGTGTAGGTAGAGCTTAATTTCTATAGCAAATCATGTTCTCCTGCAAAATTCTAGGATGATTTCACCAAAGCTAGAAGAACTTGTATATGTTTTGGCATATTTCTATATTATCCAACCAATGTGTTGTGCTTTGGCCTCTAATTCCAGAAAAAGATTATAATATTTGGTTGTCTGTGAGGTTATGCAGCATATGACCCCAAAATAGAAATAAACATTTTATCAATTTGCTTTTGTTTTCTTAGAATGCGGGTGCTTGCTGAATACCACAGGCACTATCTCTGCTTACAGTCATATAGCACTTTCAGCTCTAGAGAGAGCTACTCTCTTACCCTCCATGCCAAAGATAAGGTGTTATTAAGAAATCCGCAGCCAGAGAGTGAGAGCATGAGTAGGCAAGGGAGCTAAAGTATGACATGAGAGAAATACCTGGTTTTGGTTTTAGACAAAAGATTTAGAGTAGAACAATGTACTTTAATGCTGTTCTTTGAGTATTTTAAACGCTGCATTTCTCAGATTCCAGAGAATTGAATTCCATACATTAATTTGATTATTCCATGTGGAAAATCAAATTGGTAAATTTTACATTATCTTCAGCAGAAGAGCAAAGAAATTCCCTGTTATTCGACATTGTCAGGAAAACTTTGTGATTAATACTGTCAGGAGAGCTAAATGATTTTCTAGGAGCATTGGTCTATTTCATTTTACCCAAAATCACTGTTTGCATTGTATGGCAAAGTGATAATTATTATCTAAGAGGCTTTACAGACTATTAACTTGTAGACAGTTATCATTTTCTCAGCTGAGTTTTAATTAATGTTTTTACCTCTGATAGAAGAAATGAGTGGAAGTTGTAGTTTGCTCCCTTTTGCATACACTGTAACAGTAACATATATAAACAAACAGCTCTGCAAATGAAGAGCTTTTCTTTACACTTAATACAAGTCAAGACTATGTAACAAGATTGTGTGCAAACTGATCTCTACTGGATCAGCAGTAGAGATTTATTAAAGACTAATTTCAGGAAAAGGTACTTTAATCAAATTATATAATACAGGTATGTTTATGCAATATAGGTAAGCTTAGTTTTGATTTGATTTCCATTTTTCAGTTTTATATCGTAATAGTCGATTGCTCTTGGCCTTTCATTATTTCAGGTAAAGGCACTGGCTGGAGACTGTTTGAACAAAAAAACTTCCATCGACTCGCTGAAACAAAGACTTAATGTAGCTACAAAAGAGAAGTCTCAGTATGAGCAGATGTATCACAAGGCTAAAGATGAGTTGGAGAAAAAGGTATATTAGAGTTGTGATGGCTCCACTGTGGAACCTTTTCATACCTCACTTTCAAATGAAAAGTTGCAAGTTCATCAGCTTAGACTTTTTAAATACAGAAAGGGAAAAAAAAGCAGAATAATAGTAATGTGTTTCTCTGATTTAATTCAGTCACGTCACTGAAATTTAGATGCTGAAACATGGACATAATGACTGAAAATGAAATTACTTTTTCCCATGAAATTACATTTTATGTGTTGCATGTTGAATGTTCTGTGATGTTAACCATTGTGTGGGAGGTTGGTTTGTTCATTCGTTTGTTTGTGGTCTGCCATACCTGTCTATCAGCTTTTATTATATCACTGCTGTTTCTCTGCGGATGTATTTCAGGATCTCAAGCTTACCAATCTAGAGAGCAAAATGATGGAGACTGAATGTGCCATGACTGAACTTGAGACTACTGCATCTCAACAACTACATGGCTTGGCTAAACAGAGTGGGCAGGCTTTGGAAACTGTACAGAAGAAGCTGCTGCTCACCAATGACAAAGTCGAAGAGTTCATGACATTTGTGAAGGTTTGAGTTTTGATTTTCTTTTGAGTGTTCACCTAAATAAAGGTATTATTGAGTGAAAGCAAAACGTAAAAGATTAAATGAGACTAATCTTTTGGTGCATTCCCTGTTCTGGAACAATCTTGAAGTTCCTTCACTGGCCTGGTGTCAGCTCTGAACTGGTCTAAACAGGAAGAAAGTGTCAATGGCTCTAGGTCTCTTTCCTAGACTTCCATAGACTTCCATAATTTTTATTGGTCATCTTTTTGTATATGGCTGCCAGTGTACTTATTCACGACAAAAAGTGCTTAGTTGTATTCCAAATTACTGTGCAGAAAAAATTTTCCCAACACATTTAAGAAAATAATTCATATCTGTTGATTAATGTGAATTACCTCATTTTCCACATGCATTGCTTTTTATTACAGAAATTTTAAATAAGGAAGCCTCTATATTGCAAAATTGAAAGCAGTTTTAAAAGCAGTACGTAGAATATTCTTTTCTTATTTTGGTTAAATACTTAATAATCTGCTACAGTGATCATGCAATAATACTGTGTCTGTGGTGTTATACAGATCGCTTCATCATACTACTTCAGAGTGAAGTTCTGCAGAATGGACTAATCTGTGTTTTGTAACTTAATATTTGAAATATAAATATTATTTATTTTTCTGAAATACCCTCTACGTAACTAAGAATTATAATGCCTATTCAGTATATATCTATTGAATTTAGCATATATCTACCATATACCTACTTTCAGACAAGGCTGTATCTTACTAACCCATGAAACAGATGGACTTCTCTACTGTTCTTGGATTTCTGTAGAGGTGAGCTGCTTTCAGATATGTTTGAGCAAGTCTGATAGCATCCGAAGTAAAGAGCAGTGGTATTTTGATGCACTGTAAAAAGAAGGCATATATAGTTATCTCTTCGTGAATAACTTTCCACTGTGGATTAAAATTTAGTAACTTAAGTACTTGTTCATTTTAGCTTCTTTCTGTCATCATCAGATAACAAGTCATTCTACAATGATCCCATGTTCAGTTCAGTTGCAAAATTCACATCAACTTTATTATGAAAAAAGACTGAACAATGTTGAATGGACTTTAAAATCCTAAATTCAAAGAAATTATAAGCTAAAATATCTAAGGTGAAAATGAGGATTGACTTTCATGAAAAAGTGTGGCTGTTATTTAAAAAATGAGTTATTTTCCTTTTTAAGTTTGTGATTAAAATAAAGGCTGTCTTCTCTTTGCCTTGTTTCATAACTCTTGGGAAAGTGGTATAAAACTGATCACTGTGCCCTGTGATTCAGAAGTATCTTGCCTATTCTTGAACAAACTGTTATTTTTCATGGGGGGAAATGTGCTTTCTTCTAATACAGAATGCTTCCTCTAAGAGGAAGAAATGAGTGTTCTTTCCACAGCTGCATGCTTGTTTTTGGCTAAGTATGGGAAAGTCTGAATTAATCTAATGTGTTATCTTTTTTTTTAAATTAAATACTCCTATGTTATGAATGATAGGGAGATGCAATTCAGTCTCCATTCAGCCTGCTATGAATTTTGGAGTGACTTAATTGAATAAACTGCAGTAGCAATTATAGACAAATGAGATAAACAAGTGTTTGTACTAATAATACTTTGCATACTTCCATAATGAAAAGTTTGTCAAAAATTAGAAAATGAGAAAGTAAAAGATATTCTTTTCTCAAAAGTAGCTGTAGTGAGGAAAATCACCTATTAGCAACTATTATGATACTTTGAATCACAGTTGAATAAGATGACTGCTTCTCTGTTAGTTACCATGAATATTCATTAGCATTTACATGGTTGTACTGTATGTGAAAAGAATGTTAATATGTAGTTTCTCTATAAAGCTAAATATGTAGTGTCTCCCCTGGATAAAAAATATGCATGCATATTTCAAGTAACATTTTTGCTGACTACTGTTCCTCTGCAGAAAGGTTTTTTGAAAATAAAGATGCTGTCTGTAAGTCAAATATTGATGAACAGGGAGTTCCTCGGTAGACTGCTTTGTTTAGTTAGGTACTAAATATTTATGGAAAAAAGTTCTCTGAAATCAGATTTGATTCACAGTATATCACTGTAAAAAATGTAGTTGAAAATCCTTGGTGTTCCAGTGGAATTGTGTAGTATATCAAGTAAATCCTGTTAAAATACCTCTTATGTATCTGATGCTATAACCTGCATAGGAACATCGAGGTGGCACAGTAAGAAGTAGCAGTGCTCCTTCCTGTACCAGCTCTTCCTTTGAAGTCTGGTCTGTCTCATTTCTACTCTCTCCTTCCAGGTGGCTGTCAATTTTCCCATGACCTTGATTCTCACTCAAGTTTCAGTAACTCAAATAAGTTTTTCTGTATAGAGATCAAGTTTAATCAAGTTTAAACTGTCTCTTGCTTAACCTGTTTAACATATTTGTATGACCCTCTTATCTTTGTTATTCTGATCACTTCACAAGCCTTACTTGTTTTTCTGAGTGCAAGTGTAATCTTCTCATTAATCAATCGAATGCAGTTACTTTTTCTAGCCGTTCCATGTCTCTCATGACATTATACAGTTCTTCTTTTAACATACAACAATTAAATCATTTCAGCATTGCTAATTAATAGCTACAGCTAATAATAGGACAACAGAGGAACTTCAGAGAAGAGAGGCTCTTTCTGTTTATAGCAGACACTGTTACTTGCCTTTAGAATTATTGATAACTCAGAACCACAGGATCTTGAATCCATTTGGATCAATATACTAAGTTACAAAACCTGGGGGAGAGGTTTCTGGTAGGAGTCTGATATACACCACTGTTTCAAATTAGAGAATATGATGAGTTAGTGGATAAGCACATATTTGTAATGTACAATAAAGCATTGCATTGCTATGGGGAGCCCAGTTTGGGACACTTATGCAAGTAACTAAAATTGCTAGATTGTAAAATCTAGTAATAGTTTCTAAAAGTTGTGGAAGAAATACTTACAAACAAAAGTTGCTGTATCCAATATGTTGTAAGTCATTACTGGACTTATTTTTGTTGGAGAGTGGTATAGGGATCAGGTGTTATGTCCTAAATTACGTGTGGGAACCAACAGGGCACCTAAAATAGGTTGATTCAGAGCAGCTCATTTCTCCAAAGCTGTTATGAGGAAGATACAGGTGAGTAGAAAATACGAATAGAAATTGTGCACTGTAATAGTTTATTAAGTAACCAAAAAAACACAGTTCCATAATTAGAGGGTAGCTTTTTATAACTATCTATTTCAGTTTGATAGGAAAGAGAACACAATATTTAGAAATAGAAAGGCAATATAAATGAAATGGAAAATGGATTATAGATAATAACCTGAAAATATGAGCAGCAATAGAGTATGGAGGATGGAGAAGAGGCTAAAGATATCACCATGAAATCTGTGGGTAGCAAGCCCAAGAACAATAGTAAAGGGATAGGATTTAGGAATGTATTAGTAATAAGATAGCTATTACAGGATGGATACGACCCATTATTAGATAAAGCAACTCTGTAACTGTGTAAAGGTAGAAGTCTTGTAAGAATATTTCTGGTTTGTATCTGGAAGGAAGATGGCTGATGTTAGATGAAGATGATGAAACATCCCCAGTCTATTAGTAGCCAATGGAGGATTTTAAACAATTTCTAGAGAGAAGTAGCATTTTTAAATTGAGAACTTCTATAGCTTACAACTTGATAGGGCTGGTTAAGGAATTTTACTCTTGCTGATCCTCATTTTGAATAAGTATTCGAAGTAAGTGTATATATACTATAACACAGCCATGAGTATTAGAGTAGTCTAGAAGAATGTTAATATTGAGTCAATATTCAGAAAAGGCAGTCAGGATAGGTATTTTTAGGTCAGTTAGTCTGACCCCATTTCTGGCTAAAATAATGAAAATCTGATATGAAATTCAATTATTAAAGTATTAAAGCACAGGAGTATAGTTATACTTCTTAGAATGGCTTTATGGAAAATAAGTTGCATTGAATAAATCTGATTTCTCTTCTGGAAGGCAGTACAAGTCAGTTGATAAAGGTTACTATTCATTTTAATATACTGGTTTTTAAGATGTCTGACCTAACACTGAGACATTCAGATAAAAAATGTAGGCTATGCAATATCAATAATATGTTAAATGGATTAAAAATGGCATGTGCAGTTGATCTGAAAAGTAATTAATGAAGTTTAGGTGTTTCTAAAGTTCTGTAAAGATCAGAGCTAAACTGGATTATTAAACATTTTGACAGAATTAGATATCAAATCCTGGTAAAAGTTGTCAATGGCATTTATGAAGACTGATAAATAATAATGAAAGTAAGGCTGTGAGTATAATGTAAGATAGGCCCAATAAACTTTTTTATTACAGAAGAACACAAACTACCAGACCCCTCCTATAAGAGGGACCAAGTGGGTCTGAGAATATTTTAGTTGACTTTTATAAAGCTACATGTTTTCACCCCATCCAGCTTCCATCAGCACCATAAATTCTCTTTGAACCATGCATCCAATTTCTATAGTGTACCATTGTTCAGCATTTTCTGTAACACGTATTGTAGTATCAGATCCTCAGGTGGATCTTGCCAGTTACATGCAGCACAGCAACCAGAGCAAATGTTCTTTGTTATGTTTGTAGTACTTGTGACAACATGTGCAGAAAATGGCCACTGGATAAAGTTAAAAAACTGCTATTAGACTACTTGACTGGATGTCTATCAAAAATAGGGTACAGCATACTAGTTTGCTATGAAACTGTCCAAAATCCTACCTAATTCTGCAGGAATTCTGTTTTCCTGCATTACTGTACTTTTTTTTTTTACTTTTTTTTTTTTTTTTTAGCTCACCTAGACTTTGACCATATATTGCTGTTACGGACCCTGGTAAGCTCAAGACTCAGTAGTGTTGTCTGTCCCATTCAACTTGTATATCAGCAAAATTCATTTTTATAAGTTAATCTGCAGTGATGACATCTGCCTCAGCATGAAAATATTAGAACTCTTCT